AGCTAGGCAGAGCTCTATTTTGTTCCATGAATTAGGACCTCCCTGGAAAACAGTGCTCAGCCACTGAGGGAGCTCAACATGTACTCTTAAGACAAGACTTGTTAAAGAAAACAGAAAGATAAATTGCAGTGTTGCCAACTCTGGTGCTCCTGAAGTCTGGAAAACGGCTCCCCAAACCCAAAGTGACCGAACTTAAACAGTTTGGACAGTCGTTTGAGAAACTGCCGCAGCCACCCACGCGCTGAAGGATCGCTCCTCTAACCAGTCAGGACAGCCCAGCCCAGCAGGGGTGCAGGGTAAGGCAGCAGGGGATAATGGGCAGTCTGGCTGCCAAGTTCAGGGTTAGAACGGTATAATTCTTTCCTGGGCCATACCAGATTATTTCTGTGGTTCTGCCAAGTTCAGGACTGAATAATTCTTTCCTGGGCCATACCAAGTTATTTTGATGTTTCTTGGAGTATGAAAAGGATCCACTTTCCAGAAGGGGTGCAGGGCAAGGCAGCGGGGGTGATGGGCAGTCTGACTGCCAAGTTCAGGCCTGAAACCGCATAATTCTTTCCTGGGCGGTTCCTAGGTATTTTGATGTTTCTTGGAGTACGAAAAAGCAGTTATGATGTAGAATATCAACATCAAACTGTACCATACTACAGTAAAGAACCGGTATTTCCAAAAGGGGTATAGGCCATTGAGTCGGATGGTACATACTACGTATTGTACTACTAGTATAATGGGCAGTCTGGTTGCCAAGTTCAGGCCTGAAATGGTATAGGTCTTTTCTGGGGCCATACGAAATTATTTTGGTGGTTCTCGGAGTAGGACAAAACAATCAGTTTTGATATTGACTCAAAATATCTGATATTGAATCAGACACACACACGAAATATCAACATCAGACTGTATCAGACAGGAGTTGCAGTGTTTTACTTTACTTTCTTTGACGCTCTACATGCCTTCAGACATGATTCTGCCAATAAAAGTTCATATCAAAATCCTTAACCAAGACAGACAGTTCCAACAGGCTCCAAATCCTGTCCGTGTAGTCTTTAAACTAGATGATTGATTAACTACACCAGAAGGTACATGTATTATACCCAAGGCATATAGATGATAAATTAACAGTGCATAAAGGTGTACCCAGTGTGAAGAAAGGTGTGTGAAAAGGAAAGTTCCATGGGGACCAACTGGGTTGACAGAGAATAAGCGAGTCTTATGCCTTTAATGAAACTTAATCTACCGTATCTGTCAGGCCGTGGAATCTCAATTACATGGATGACATCTACTATTGACTTCAAATTTGATGTACAATGTATCAGCTAGCATAGCCAGTATAACCGCCCTTCAGCGTAACACACCAGCTTCAGTATCTGTATAGCCAGTATAACCGCCCTTCGGTGGAACACACCAGCTTCTGTATCTGTATAGCCGGTATAACCGCGCTTCGGCGTAACACACCAGCGTCTGTATCTGTATAGCCGGTATAACCGCCCTTCAGCGTAGCACACCAGCTTCTGTATCTGTATAGCCGGTATAACCCCCCTTAGGCGTAACACACCAGCTTCTGTATCTGTATAGCCGGTATAACCACCCTTCGACGTAACACTGCGTAGCTGGTACATGTATGTCTACCAGTTTATTTACTGAGTAATTAGCCATGACCACACACACTGTCAAAGAAGAAGTCATCCCCATCCTTGCATGTAGGATTGACATGTATAGATCAAGGCTATAGCTAACTACGTACCTCATGTACCTTGTCTCTTGAGCATCATTACACTCTGAAGTCACACACAGCAAACATACAGGCTAATTCCCTATATTCCCAGGTTTACCATTAAACTGAACAAGCTACAGTCTACAAGGACCCGGCAGCCACTTTTTTCTTG